AAAATCTGTTAAAATTCTCTTGCTGGAGTAACAATATGCAAACAGCTAGTGCTGAACTTAAAAAAAAATTGCATTTTCCCATGTCTTGCATGGAACACTTGCTAAATAGCCAGCATTCCTCACCCGGCTGCTGCATCAAGCTAGCCTGCACTTTTTCAGTGCAAATCTTAAATACAATGAAATTAAACAATATTTACTATTGTATGCTTTATGCCATTGTGGGGACAGCAATGCAGACAGTAATACAATAATATTTACTTGTAGCATTTGCAGTCTTTACTGTCCACAACGTAGCTGTTTGTGGCATTAATGTATCTTTATTGCAATAATTGTATTATTGTGGACAGTTTGACTTACAGTGTTGGGGTCTTGAGGAGTTGCCAAGTAGCTGAAGTAGGTGGGGTGCAGTAGGAAAGTCCCATTATCTGTGCATAGCTCAGTAAGTGATCATTCCACGTGTGTTTTTGGCAGACAGTGGTTTGCTCTGGTGGATACAGGAGCTCACTTCCAGGCCAGACCAGAATAAAGTAAATTAAAATTTGCTTATGAAAAGAGATTTGTGCCTTATCTATAGAACTGAAACAAGGGGAAAATGTTTTATTCTCTCCTGAGCTTTCCCCCCTGCCCTTCAAAACACTACAGTATTACGTTGATTTACAGCATTCTGAAAAAATTTAATATTTTTCTCTTTGAAACTGTCCTTATCGTGCCCAAAACAGAAGATAATTTGGTTTGGTTTTATTAAAATCCTTTCTGAACTTTTTACACTGTAGCTATTCTTCCCAAATGAGTCATACAGTAACCATTCCCAGTTTGTAGCCAGTTCTCCAAAGAAGCAGAAGAAAAAAGAAACAACTTCCTTTTAAGGGAATGAGACCTGTTTGTAAAGATAAACCTCTTTCCATTTCTATTTGAAGACATTCTCCATAACCCAAGAATTGATAGTTATAAAAACACTACCTACTTTATTTGGATTACAAAACCGGTCGTAGCTATAGAACATTGTTTAATGTTAGCCTAAAGCATCTGTATATACACTTACACAGAGGGGCAGTGGTGAAATTACACATGCACCATGTCAAAGGAGCAGCTAGTTTACCAGAAACCTGCAAGAAACAGCTTGAAATGGCTTTCATTTCAGTTTAGTTAGGATTTTTAAATAAATGAGTTCAAACAAAGTATTTAATATTTACGTGGAACGAAAACAGTTCAAGAGGATGTAATTGTATAAGTAAGCTAACAGCAATTTCTGTTAAAGTGCTGTGTGATTCCCAAAACTCATCACACTGCTTGAATGTTCTTAGGATTTGGGAAAATGTCACACGTTGCTGGGACAATTTCTGTGACCTCTGAAAGCCACAGTTATTTTAATGGCAGCTTTGTTGTGCTTCTCCTCGATTTCTGTCCATAGAAACTGTAATGGGTATTTAAGTGTCCTCACTGTGCATTTTGTTCTCAGACTGTGGTCCTGCCAAGCTTATTCCATTAACCCTGCAGACTGGCAAATAACAGTTTGAAAAAAGATTTAAACATTAAAAACTTGGGGTTACTTGGTTTTTTACCTCTTGTGGGTGGGATAACTTTGCAATCCAGGATATCCAGAAATGTATTCTAATTTTAATGAAAGCTGGAACTCAGGTAAGAACCAGATTTTAGGAGCTGGTACTGAAAGGAAAATTGCATATGTCATGAGAGTCGCAATAAATTTTAAAAAGTTGAGCAGATAACCATGATTATTTTACAGGGGTTTTTTTTAAGATATCTGACTATAGGTAAAATTTTTTTCAAGATATTAATTTGAAATGTGCAAAATGTGTAATTGCATACAAATTAAAACATTTCACTGGATGTGTTGCTTATACAGGAAGTAAGAATACAGTTATAAACTAGCTAAAGGTTAAAGGGGAAAGAACCCTGATATTAAATTCAGACACCAAAGCAGAGATGAATTGTTTAGGCTGTACTGCCATCCATTTAGCTCTGAACCCCTGACACTGTAGTTTATTAGAGAGGTGGAGACAACAGAATCCTTTGTCACAGGGATTTATATTACCAGAGGAGCTACAGCAGACTTTTTCTGTGTTGTTAAAATAAATTAATCAAAACCAGCAGGGGAGCGTCCTTGAATTACAATGGTTGCATTATTCAGAAACTGTAAAGATTGAATTTTTAAGGAAATCCAAAAGGCATGTAGCTTGGGAAAGAGCCAGTTGTTGCCAATTTTAACAATTCTTAATATAAGAAGCCGGATTATTATTTCAAGCAGACCTTTGGCACACATTTTCTATGATTTTATTGAATTATCTTCCTCTGAAGTATTATTATAATGTACTAACACAGACATAATATGGCATCTCTCCTCCTAGACTGATCCTGAAGTACTTTCATGATCTTTGGCCAAAGTCTGTGCCAGCTTTAAGACATGTTGGCTAAGTCAAGGATGCAGCCCACACATCCATGGAATGCAGCAATCCCGTAGCAAGAGCTAAATGACCATGTCAATGTTAGAAACAATGAGTGGGGACAAAACCTAGGACAAAATCCCACTTGCTTAAGTTGCTAAAATTAAACCCTGGTCTCTTCCAAAACTATAAATAATAGAAATAAGGGTTAAGAAAGATAAGTGAAAAATGGTATGGGATTAAAATAAAAAAAATAGGTTTTCAAATCTTACTCAGATGTTAGTATAGTAGTAAGTTTAAAGAGTTTTCTAAAAATAACAACAAAAGAAATGAGACCACGCAGGATAATCTTGACTGTATCAAACATCTGGAAAATATAAGCACACATGAAAGAGCTGCTCATTTTAAGGATTTAATTTAATAACTCATCCTGTTCAAGAAGATTAACACGTGGCTATAAAATACCTGCTTGCCATCAGATTTCACCCCAACATGGCCATAGAAAGGTTTTAGACAGCCTTAGTTTTATTAGTTTAGGACAACAGCATTCCTTTTCTTTTTGTGTGGCTACTGTTGCTCTGGGTTTGCTACACGATATCCTGCATATTTTTCAACTAATAAATGATGCATCTAACTTGGTCACGTTGCCATGGCCATATGCAACCTCCAAGTAACCTTGGTGAGTATAAACCCTAAACTGTGCCAGATCTTCCTGGCTTGGTTTTTAGAGTGAGCAATGCCTTTACTGCATAAGAAAACAACAAACAACTGTATCTTGTACCAAGTGAAGGGGCACTTTTTGAAAGTACTTCTGAAATAAAGACGCTGGCAGCTATAAAACCAAAATCCTTCTTATAGCATTTCCCTTTAGATCTGTGGAAAGTGCTTCAACTCCCACCAAAAGTCAAATACTAGCTTTAAAAGATGAGTCAAAGGCGGAAAAGGAAGTGAAAATCACTGTCTTCTCCTCTCATAAGCATTGTGCTGCTTTCAGAGCCTGTTTGTGATAGAGAAAACAGTGTGAAGGAGCATCTGGCAATATGGCAGCGTGGTATTCAGGGACCGCTGTTCAAAGGAGTGTCAGGAAGCCCCTGGTAATGTCAAAGTCAGTTCAGCTCTGCAGCACTAGTCCCAATGCCAAGCACCAAATAAAGGGAGCAGAAGCCAGGAGGAACTTGTGAAGGCACGGCTAGAAACTGAAAAGACATTTATGTGAATTGGTTCTGTAATGTTGTAATTGTTTCCTGAGCAAGTGCTTCCCTATGATTCACAATACTGTCTGCCTTGGAAATCAATAGGTTCTGTAGCTCCTTATCTCATGGCACTGCTTTTAGCTCTTTGTTTAAGAAACCTTTACAGTCAGTTTTCAGCATTCTGGTGATGTAAGAAGCCGTTTAAAAATTGACTGAAGATCAAGAGTGACATTTTAGGCAACTGAATAGGAATGTAAACACGTACAGTTCTCTTTTTCACCTAGAAGAAGATAATCTGACTCAGATTGCCTCTGAAGACTTTGCTGACGCCTCCTATTAATATAATTTTGAGGGAAAGGTCCTGTTCTATGAACTACTAGTATCCTCTCAGGTTCCTCTGGGAAGCACACTCTTCAAGGATTGCGTAGTCTTTAAACAGACGTCACAGGTCAGCACCTCCATAAATTAAATTCAGCGTCAGGATCAGTGTCCAGTTTCCTTTCCTCTTCATTATTTTGCCCTGAGACTTATCTTTTTCTTATTGACTTAAACCTAATAATTAATTTTAAAAACACGGTAAGAGCATTTTAATATCAGTGTTTCAGAGGCAATCGGATTTTCTTTTAGCGTGGAAGAAACGAGTCAAAAACAGTCAAGGGCAGTTGTGTCAGGATCTGTATTTGAGATACTGATTTAGGGTGTGACTAATTGTGTTAAAATGATGGAGAATCTAGAAGTACACAAGGCCTAAAGGAGCCAAGTGAAAAGGCCAAAAGGAAACCCAAGCACATGAAAAATGTCATCTGGCCTGAGAGTATGTTGCAAATGTAAAACTAAAGAAATACAAAAAGGTTCAAGAAAGCTTTTAAATGAAACTAAACTCCGATGTGTAAGTTGTGCCTTAAGTGACATACAGGTATAACGTGGGATTATGTGAATCCCTACAGATGAACACTGCTTTCTGTAGTGCTATGGAACTATAAAAGCAAGGAGGACTTGGTAACATATCATTTCTTTTTACAATGATCTGATGGAAACCTATTGGAAGAAGTTTTTTAGTTGGATATAAGACAAGAGAGAGGCACTGCACAGGGCTGAGGCAATAGGTAACTCCTACAGCTGTGTCTGGCTCTGTGTCTGCATCCAGCATGTTTGATCCAGTCACTGAAATAAATTGTATTTTCCAGCCATTAAAAAAAAATACTTGCATCTAGAGCAGTAAAAGGTTTTGGGCAAAGATTTGGTTTGGCTCTCACTTTAGGTGAGCTTGAGTGCAATGCTGTTGCCTAGAACACCTGAAAAGAAAGCATTTTTCGTAAAAGGAAGGGCTCCTTCCCACTCTTTTCAGTTTCAGCTGATGGTGCTAAAACACGATCCCGTTTCTGCCTCTCTATTTTTATCCCAGGACCCAGCAGCCGATGAACCGTGCCAGGGTTTAATTCTTCAGCGCTGGATGATGCAGGAATCCAGAGGCCTGAATGCAAGCCTGATTTGAACAGGCCAGTGCATCTTTAGTTTCTGCGTAAGTCAATTAGCACCCCGTATCAATTTGTGCTAATTCCCAGTCTCTGCAACTTTTCCAGGCCTCTTATGCAAATCAGGCCTGGAAGCAAACAACAAGTGAGTGACCCAGAAGGCTGGTACGGGGCTGGGCACCATTGTTCTCAGGCCAGGAATTTCAGTGCCCCATTTGTTCATGGAGTAACTAAAAAAAATGAGAAGCCACAAGGATAACTACCTCTTCAGGCTTAATTATTGTACCCTTTGTACTGTTCTTCCCAGGGTAGAAAAAGAGGCATTCTTGGTCCTCTCACTACATTTAGATTCACTGGATTGTTTTTCACTGTTCCTGTAAATATAGCAGAAGAAAACTGAAACTAGAATGACAAGAGGTTTTAAAGTCAACCCCTTTTTGTAGTCACAAATTGTGCCATGAAATCAGAAATACCCTGGTAACATTATTCTGGTGATCTGGAAAATGACTTAAAAATGTAGCACATTTAGGAGATGAATCAGGGTCCTTCAAATGAAGATTCAGTCATGGAAAATTTAGACCACACCTGTACTGATCTGTTAATTTAAAGGTATTGGAGTAAAAATGAGCTCAAGCTGCAAAACTCAAGTAGATTTCCAACACTGTAGCTGTTCAAGGATGCATCCTGGAATTTGGTGCACTTCACAGGAGTAAAATAACCTGGGTTTAGAAGATCTAGTGTTACAGACTGAAGTCATGGCTGAAAGTGAGGGCAGAGAAAGAAAAACAAGATAACGAGGAATTTATTAAAACCACCATTTTAAGATAGCTCAAAATTTGGTTTAAATTGGATACAAGACCTGGGAGAGTTCTTACATCTCCAGGGCTCTCGGGTGGTGTCAGGTTGGCCTGGAAGAAACTGAGGTTTGAGGTAATGGGTTTTTTTATACTTTTTTAGTTATTATTTCACTACATGTATTCAATAGTTTTGTGTAATATTACTATTGAATGCACTAAAATATGGCATCAAATATGTGCAGAAATATTTTTCTGTTTTCTCTTTAAAGGATTACAACTGCAGCTTCAGTAAGAAAGCATTAAACCCGGCAACCAAAATTTCTCCAAGGTGTATCTGTCTTTACATTCACTTACCTATGATTTTTGGGATAGTGAATAAGAGCACCATCTAGTGATAATCAATAATGTCAGTATCATGAAAACGTGTTTATTTGGACTGGACATGAAGGCACACTGCTAATTCACTTCCCAAAGGGACTGGGGGCTTGAAAGGAAACAGAGTCCTAGTTGTCATTTCCAAAAAACTGGTGCCTTCCCCTAGATCCCCCTAAAAATGCACAGTGAATCTAAAGATTGACTTTGACTGACAGCATGGAAAACATGAGATAACAACTGTAATACTAACATTTTGTTTCAAAAGGCAATTAAGTAATCTAATTATGTATTCCTGTAATGAAACTCTCCGCATTTGTGAATGGCTCATTTTCTATTGATCAGCATAACATACTTATTGCACTGAGTGTGAATTTAGGTGAAACCATTCTAATTTCCTAGGTATCCATTTTTTTTGGAAAGCCAACAATTCTGAATCTTCTTTTTTTCAGCAAAGGGTGTTAAACAGTGGCTCCACTTAAGGATCTTAGGCATTAAATAGTATCACGTGTTAGAATTTCCCTAAAACATCCATGCTTCATGATAGTTTTTTCCCTAACTTGAAGGATTTTACAAGCAAGTCTTACACTACCCATTCTCCAAGTATTATTTCAATGTGCAGGAAGATCATTATGAATATATGCTAATATAGAAAGCTATTTATTCCTTTCAGATTATTTCCATATGCATCCTCTGTAATTAAATCAGTGGCTTATGGCAGCTGGTCTTTGAAGTGATCTCTGCAAAATAGGAAAATGTAATTTGTGGGGCAAAATGCTGATTACTCTATTCCAGCCACATCTGTTAAGCTCTAGTAGTTCAGAGATTTCTGTGATGAGGGAGTTCATGCAAAGCAGAAAGTTTACTGTATTCCTTTCAGTCCAGGGGAAGTCCACTGGAAGTGATGGGCACTATTCTAACCCAGTAACAAGGTTTGAAGTCCAAGGTGTTGTTTGCCCACAATCTTCAGTGAATTCGCTGAAACTGGTGCTTAAGTAAGTAGATGTACTTGTGTATTTAAATAGAAGTACTACAGGGAGAATGATAAGAGAAAGCAGAGCAAGAATTCCTGGCAGAGAAGACAAGGATTTAGAGAGATAAACAGAGAGATGATCTCTTCAGTGGCGATGGGTGAGTAAAGCTAATAAAACTCATGACGTGATTCTCCTTGATTGCAGGACACCTGGTATTGTACAGGTATAGACAACCATTATAATTACTGTTGCACAATTCTCCATGATTTTTGCAGGACTCTTAGAGCCTTTCCAAAGGAATGCCAGTTCAACTGCTGAAAAGGCTGTTACCCTCAGCTGCTGGGCACTCCTCTCCCTAACCTCCTTGGAAAAAAGTTACATTATTTAACAGCGTCATTGGGATACCCTCAAGTCTAAGATTTTTTCATTCCTTCGAAGGGAACAACTTCTGCTAGACACAGCAATCTATAGTAAGAAGATCCGTAGCAAAATCTGCTACACCCTTCCCAATGAGGATTTTTATTCATGATATCTGCTTCTAATTAAATAACTGCACTATATTATACATACTAAGACCCAATCCTTTGCCCTTTGAAGTCAATGGCAAAGCTCGCAATGAGTTCATGGGAAAAAATGTAACTCTTTTGTTAAAGCTTCCTTTAGTGATAATTCAACTGTTAGGTTTTTAAAACAACAACTCAGCTTTGCCACCTTTGCCTTCAGACAACAAGCAGTTCCTGATACTCCTGTACTAAGCAGAGAGTACTGGGAAGGGCAGATTTGGTCTCATAAAGTTATGTTCCCCTGTCACTCTGGTTTTCTTTCTTTCTGTTACTGTAAAGTGCCACAGTGGACATAGGGTGTCTTGCATTATCTTTATTTTAGAAACTTCCTTGAAATTCAATATTGCAGCAATTTATGCCATACGTGGCATGTTTATGCTACAGAGAACATATCAAATGGAACCAGCAGTATAGAACACCACAGCTTATCTGCTCCCTTCATAGTTTTGACCCATCACCAGTTCATCTGCTAATGAATTGTAATATAAAACATGCTTACAAAACCCAAAGCTTCCAGCTTCCTAAATGGGACCATATTTCTAAAATATACTTGCAAAAGGGCAAGTTTATAAAACAACGAGTCTCCAGCTGCACAGTCCAGGATGACATAACTCTTTTGAAGCAAAAGGTTATCCATGCATTCAGTGCCCAGTGCCAGATGTAGGAAGGAGATACCAAACAAAGAAGGAAACTTAAAGGATTCAAAATATATCTCTATAAAGTAGAAAGAAGAGTTGCAGACAGAGTTTCTCTGCTAAACAAGAAATGAAGAGTCCATGCTGTGCCCAGGACTGCAGCACATGATAGAGAGCTCGGGGTCTAAGCCTGCTGGCTCTGGCGAGCTCAGAGCCAACGGGGTTCTGTCATAATTTACCTTCCACATAAGCAACAAATAAAGCAGCCACTTCTTCACTGTTCTTAGCACCCCGCTGAGAGTAAGGTGCTGAGGTGTTTTGGAGATTTTTGGCCATCATGCTCAACACCAGGTTGTATTGGCAGGTACCCAAAAAACAGCACTTTGATTTCGGTGCACGCTGAAGCGTTTCGGCCTAAGTGTGCGTTAGTCTCATCCTAACGTTCACGCTGGCTAGGGACTACAGATTCTAATGGAATGGGACAGATGGGAAAAATTACAGAAAAGGAAAAAGAAATCCACAGTGTAACTTGTGTACATTAGGTTTGAAATTTAAAACCTCCAAGCTGATATCCAGTGGGGTTTTTTACTGCCAGTTTTGTTCCAGCCAATGAGCGGTGCTTGTGAGTACTGGTCGCAATCTAAATGTTATCATTTTTGTCCATAGCTGATTCCATGCACAGAATTATTCCTCTTAAAGATATCTCTGCAAATTTTATAGAGTGCTAAGCATTTACCTCATGAAATATTGTCCCTTAAAGTAATTTCTGCTCTAAATATTTCTGCTGTAAATGGGAAGAACACTGAGTTGTGTATTTGGAGGAAAGCCCTTCCATGATATGCATAAATTACTAGCTGTGTCCTCTCAAACAATCCGACACAATTCTAAAGGACTTTGTAAACAGCATTTCCTGGTGTGATATTTTAATATGAACTTGGCTGAAAGTCTTACTATTACATTCCCATTCACAATAAGAATGCAATGGCAGAAAATACAGAACAATGAAATGAAATAATGCCTTGCGGTGTATTTTAAAAGTTTCCAGTGAAGAAACAAAAAATGGAGCAAAGCTCTATACAAAGCAGCTAATCTAATTTAGTAGGAATACACTGTTTGGTTTTTTTAGTTTGTTTAGTTTAAATCAGTGTGAATTATGGGGTTCATTCTATTCCATTGAAAACTCGCCTAGCATGAGAGTTGGAAAAGCATCTATTGGAAATGAGCACAAATGAATCCATGGATCCAAACCATGCTTGTATTTGCCTAAATACTGTGGGAAGCGTGCCAAAACCAGCTTGGTATGTTGTCCTGTATATCCAAAACAGGGTATACACTCTAGTGCTAGTTCAGCCTGCAGCTTTTAAACAACTAGATGGGACTTCAATACTAAACATTTCCACTGGCACGATAGCTGGAATGCAAAAGTTTGAAACTAAGGAACGCAGAGCCCTAACCTTTAGAAGTGCATGGAAGCCTTTGGTGGTTAAGGTGTATGATTTTTTTTTCCTCATTGTTTTTCTAGTTAGAAATGGTAGAGTTTTCAGGAACAGTTATTTAGTGGTGTTCTGTTTTCGTTAGGTTTGGGGATCCTTACTTTGTTCCTTGGTTTTGCAAAATAAATTAACCTAACCTCCATTAAAGCCCAGTCTGTCAATGGAAGTTTTGTAATTTACTTAAATAGAAGCCAAATTCTATCATCTAAACAAGTGCAAAAATGTATTGGTTAGTAAATTGGGTCAAGGCTCGTAAAACAGTCAAAATCCTCTCCAGAAAAGATAGATAAACCCATAAATTTCCACATAATTTCTTGTGTGAAAGAATATGTAAATATGCCTCACAGGATTTTCTGAATATCAGCAAATACCGTCTGTGTAAGATGGTCTGAAGGGTGAATTTGAGAGTATGAGTCTGTCCGGGCTGCAAAAACAAACTATGTTTGGAAATGTATTAGCCAGCAAATTTAAACAAACACTTTTAAATACAGGCCAAGTAAGGCAAGTTGTGTTTAAAATCGTGTAGGTTGACTTTAAACTCCCCTCCCTTGCTGCCAAAGTTCAACCAGCATGTTTTAAACATGGCTTGCTCTGTTGAGTGCTATTGCATAAAGTTGTGTTCAAGTCGTTTTTGAAATGTCAATTGATGCAAACAAGGCAGTATCAGCAGGGGCTGTGAGCTCGGTGCTGAGCCTTTACACAGCACCCTGAGCATTGGCATTTCAAACCCAGTGGTGTAGAGAAAGATCCTACTTTAACTAACCTGGTTTACCTGCTTGGAAGTGTGACAAGAACTTGAAAAGGTTTCCTTAAACCCAGCAGCTTTGGTGTCCTTTGTGGATGGACCAACTCTGTGCTAACATACCTCTCATATATGTGGCAGTGACACGCTTTGCCTTACCTCAGGATCCAAAGCATAACTGGGCTAACATGTCTCACCCTCAAGTTTTTTTTCCACTAGACTAAGTGTAAAGCTCAGCATGATGAAAACCTCTTGGGGTCATTCTGCAGGAGTCAAGCATTTTGGAGAAAACCTCTAACTCCCCCAGCAGAGCCCACCTGTGATTACATCCAGCATTAAGTAATTCTATTCACACATCACTTTTCACACTCTTGGTTCAGGTTGTTCCTAAGTCTTTGAGTTTCACTTTCAGTTTCAAGTTCCAATGAATCCAAAATGATGAAACAGAGACTTGAATTGAAATCTGAGCATTTTGATGGACAAGGGCACAAGTCTAAGATGACCAGGCAGCCAGTTGTCACACATCATTACTGAGCCAAAGGTAAAACTACTATTTGGGCAGCAGCAGCAGAATTCTTCTTGTAAGCATCTGTTCATTTTTACTTTTAGGATCAGAAAAAGAGGGCTGAATTTCCTTTGAAGTGCTTAGAGGTCTGAGTCATGCAACTTACTGCCCTTGAATACTAGAACTATTTGGTTAAGTTCCCAAACTTAAATTACTAAGACTTTGACAGATACAAACAATGAGTTCAGCAAATTGCTGTTTGGTGTAGGTAACAAATATGCTGGAAATGATGTACCTCTATAGCAAACAGATAATTTTATGAAGTCACATCATAATTGAATTATAAATCTAAATCTTCTCTAAGATCTGAATCGACTCCATTAAATTACCTGTTGCAAAAGAGATGTTTCTTAAAGACTATAGCTTTATTATATATAACATAGTCAGTATTGTTAGGTATTAGTAGAAAAACTCACAAGACTTTTTTTTGTACATACATGTTTTTATAAATTTTAAATGAAAAAAAAAATGTTCAAAAAAATCCCCCATTATATTCATAAAAACACATTCTTTTGTATATCTCATGGTGGAAACAGAAAGGAGATACCATGTCTTACTTTGCTTTTATATATCTTAGATTCTTATCCTTCTAGGGTCACTGTTACACTGAGATTTCCCAACCACCTCCTGCTTTGGGAAAGCTATCCTACAGCGCAGTACTGACATGCTTTGGTGCCTTAGTGCATACAACCACTGTTTTCCTTAGCTTTATACTCCTGATAATCTTTTTTTAAAAAAAAAAATCCCATCCATTTATTAGATATCCTTTCTAGCACTGTATGTCTTTTGAAATAGAATTTAAAATATTTGGGTTTAAAGCCCTTATGGTCTATGAGGACAGTATATAGAATACACAAATTATTTTTAACTGAAAATAAGTTTTTATGAAGTATTTACAACATAAGTGGACATCACAAAGCGAGTTGGTGTATGGAGCCAGGGTTCAGAGGGGTGTTAAACACTTTGTGTATCTCTACGGAAAATGAGTCAAATGTTTTCAAAATTTATGTTTTGAATAAGGGTTAAAAATGGAAAAGGAAAAATTATAATTTCTGAGGCTTCAAAAAAATCCATTTGTTGCAATCTCACATCTAAGAAATTACTGAAAAATCTGAAATCTAATTTAGTGGTTCTAAAATTATTTTGCTAGTGAAAATTGCCTGTTTTATGTGCTGGTGACAAAAGTACCGAGATATTTCTTTGTAAAACGTTTGTCTCTATCTCTCTGTTAACTATTTGCATAGTAATGGAAGACAGTAATTTATACTGCAGGCAAAACTCTTATGGATTTTGGTGGGAATGCTACTTGCATATATGCTTTAAGAGCTAGGCTACAGACAGTGGGGACATGGTTTACATATTCTTTATAAATGTAATAAAACTATTTTAAAAGGCATAAACCAAACCGGTAAAAGCTGATTCTGGCAGTGAACTGCAATGACTTACTCCATTAGCTTTTGGAAACAATATGTTTCCTTTATCAAAGAGTAGATAAGTGTGAACTTTGGATTTTTGTATCCTATCACATTTTCATGGATTATCTCACTTCCCTTCATTTTGCATCCGTGTCCTCTTAGGTTCAGTATCACAATCACTTCTTCACTCTTGCTTGGTTTTATATAATCAAGGCCCCTTGATTTTTACTGTTACAATTTTTAAGTTCTAGCTACAAGTTTTCACTAGATGGCAGGAGTCCGCTGCCCTCTCTTATCAGAGTCTTTACTTGCAGAGCAACAGTTGCCCATCGGTAGGGGGGAAAAAAAAGTAAACATGTTCAAGTTTTGCAAAACAGAAAAACAAAAAAAAATAACAGTAATGAGAAAAAGTATTCATACCCTCAATAAATCCTAGTTCTGTTACTGAATGTGGTTAGTACTGTGGGCTGGAAATCATTGAAAAGAATAGTGGAAGATGTTCTTTTCTCAACAGAGGAACTAAAAGGACCTTCTTTTATAAAATGAAGTAGATTTACTGTTTCTGCTGTTTGTGAAAAAGTCAACTGATCCAGTACATTGAAGTTAATTAACTAATAAATATATTGACAGGCTAAGAAAGTTACAGCTTAAATACTAAACTACTGATCTAAAATACTATATCGAAGTACAAAAACGGAACACTCAAGATGCTGCATTACCAAGATAATAAAAGGAGATAAGATACATGTTAAACTCCCTCCCTCCACTTAACAAGGCAGAACTCATTTTGTAGTGATCAGTCCCAGTAGCACTTCAGCCAGAGGTATTTTGCTGACCTCAGAGCTGTGGACCAAATTTGTGCCTCTCGTCTAGGAGAACAGAATGCAGCTCCATACAGTTACATAAGCCTTAATAACCGTGACAAATCTTCATTGTTGCAGCAGTGGGGAAGCTGTTGCACTGGACTGAGCACTGATTTTTAACAAAACTACTTTTGAAGTATTATTTTTTTTGCTACTTGGGGCTACCGGTTGTTATTTTTAATTTATTCTGGGTTCCTGCTGTCTGTTTTGCTCTCCTTCTATACATGCAGATAATTTCTGAAGTGTCCAGGAATTTTCACTGTTGCTCACAAAATATAAGAGGGGATGTTTGGCATCTATTAAGGCTGTTTCTAAGTCTGGATAACTTTCCAAAACCGGAGATAACTCAGCATAATACTCTCCAGGATTCCCAAAATAGTAAGAACATTTTCTCATGGTAAAGCTGTATTTATTCTATGACTAGGGTAGAAAAACTATGATAAATAGACAACTGGAACAGCATTTCCTAATATGAGATTGAGTTTGCGATGTGCCGAGTGCGCTCAAAGCCAGACAGAGACCCAAACAGGAGCTGAAAGACACCCATCATCTCACGAGTTAAACCTTTGATGGTTAAGAAAATGTTTGCGATACTTGCAAGCTACCAAGAGGTAATCATTCCTTTTTATTGAAACCAACCAGCACCTGTAGAATCTCTGCAGAACATGCCAGCGAATTCAAACAACCGTCACAAGATCCACACCAGCCACTTCCCTGGAAGCAGTATCTCATCTGTATCTAACCAAACTTTCTCCTCACTCGTGCTCCCAGCACACCGATACCATCTCTCTCGTGATCCTACCTTGGCGATCTGCAAAGGCTGCTTTTGCTCCTTGCCACCTTGCAGTCTAAAGCCCCAAGGCGCCCCTCCGCTCATAGCAATGCAGAGATAATCCCCCGTGCCCATGTTCCCGGTGCAGTCAGGCAGCATTCAGATACAGGAGAACATGGGAAGTTTGTCTTGCAGATGTTCAGCGAGCTGGAGATTTCAGCTGCCAGGCAGAGCTGGAGAGCCAGAGCACCACACTGTTGCTGCTGCTGGGAACTGCACGAGCAAATGTAGTCATTGAGGAGAATGTAAGAGCTCCCTCGGCCCGAGGGCTCAGCCCACTCTGTCGTCAGATTCCGACGCTCAGCCCACCTTCAAAGTACAGTAAGTAACGCCGGGGAAATGCACACAAAGACACTCGGCCATGAGGCAGAGAAGGCTGCGTTTAAACACGACTCTGGTGACAGCTGAATCAAAACAACAGCAAAAAGAAGTGTACATTTCCGTGGGACAATTTAGGAAATAAGTTTGCTTTAGTAAATGGTGCCAGACATTTTAAACTCTAATTTACCCACTTCTTGCATTTTCACTCTAAAGAAAGAAAGCAGAATCTCAAGTGAAACATCATGTACATCTTCTGAATAACTGGTACACTTAGATTGAACTGGGTTTAGCATTTTCATCTCTACCCTGCATGCACTTTCTGCAGCACTGCAGGTATGCCAAAAAAAAAAAAAAAAAAGAGAGAGAGAGAGAGAGAAAACTTTATAATTTCCCTGTCTTGGAATTGCTTCTTTTTCTAACCTTGGTATAGTTCAATGTGCATTACTATTAACAATGACCTGAATTATCATTGGACCCTAATAATACCTGTTGTGCAGCCTGTTGCCTTTCCTACCGGAGCAGGGAAGAGGATTAGTGGAATGAAGTATCAGATCTCTCCACGGATGCTATCAATGGCTGATTTGCATTGTGGCATTAAAAGGGAACCTTACTATAAGCACAAAAAAACATTCAGTGGGAAGTTAATTTGCCAGTGCCTTACAAGACCTGGGTTCAGTTCTGTTCTCTGTTACTATCCTGTGGTCATGCAGCCTGTGAACAGCTGAGCTCCTCCTGGTCTAGTGGAGTGGTTTAAGAGGTGACTGTATTTCAGCAAGGGATGAATATTCCTCTAGCTGAGCGTTAACAACTGACAGCATAAGCTCCTACTCACCTCAGCCCAAAGTCAGGTAGCCTGGTTTAAATCACATTGCATTCTGCACTAAGCTGGCTCTAAAGGACAGTGTTCAGCAGATGGGCAGAAACATCTTCCATGTCTAGACTGACGTGTGAAACAAACACCTCTTGCTTTGAGACCTGTGTTGCTGGGAGCATCAGATTTTCACAGCCGGAATTCACTGAGGTCCCTGTATGAACTGTTTTCACTTGGCTGGTTCTTACACCACAGCATTGTTCCTTAAAGACAGAAAAAATATCAAGGTAGAGACAGGATCTTTTGTTAAACTCAAATATTATGGCTGGAAAAAGTAGACAGGCTTTTAGGAGCTTGAGCCCTTCAGGCCTCTGAAGACACTAAGACTGGGTGGAGACAAGATCCCTGATCACACAGAGGAAAATGTCACTCTCTCAATAACAGGATTTAATGGGAGGAAGAGTGTTTGCTTTATTGACTATGGCTTAAAAGCTCTGGAGAAGCAAAACAAGCACAGGTTGCCATATAATTAAATACTTAAGGGAAACACTGTCAGAGAATCCATACTTGGAAAGGGAATGGCTTTAAAGAGACTTTGCTGGACAACCTCTGAGTGCAGACACGTGATTTGAAATAATTCAGTTCAAGGTGTCTGACTGCTTCTTGTTACCTTGTGCAATGTTCATATATTGCTACAGCAGACAGACTTTCAGTCTTTCCCATGGCAGCATCTTGCTTTAGACAAAATTCTTTCCCTTTTGCCTAATGATGCACACTTTTGTAGATACTTCTGTGACACACTCTGTTAAATACAAAAACTAAACATTTGCTTTAGGAAAATGAATTGCATAATTATCAACCCCTCAAATGTTATAAATTTATCATTAAATAAGTCTGTTTAATTACTGCTAGGGTGTTTTGAGCTTGTATTAGGCTCTCTTTTATCATTTTGACTAAAACTGATCTCTGTTTCTGAACTTCTTCATATACTTATTGCAGAGAAGAAATTAAGGGGAATCACCCCAGCATTTGGATGGTCATATATACGCTGGGAATTTGTACTAGATGTGGATGCTTTTCTCTCCTTTGACCATATAACAGACTTGTGTAAAATATTAAAACAGAACCATCTTGATTAGTCATTGCTCAGCTGAAAAAAATTAAACAGTCAGAACACCAGGATCTGTTTGATTTTGTTGTATGATCAGCAGCTGGTGTCCCTTGAAGTTATTCCCCCACCAAGTATTTGACATCATTAAGGCAAAAGAGCAGAGAGAAGCATTTTAAATTTGATCGTGCCTTGGGAAAAGACAGCAAAACAGTGCTAGTGGTTTAGGTTTGCAGTAAGAAAAGCATTTGAAGTCTGTAATTAAACTATTCCCATGTTGGGAAGATCCAAAGCTTCCTATGTCTTAATCTACCAAAGAATACCCCATAGGCACTAACAATTCCCATTTGCCTTATATGAATTTCTTAACTGCTTATGCTACAGCATATTTTGCTTTTTAATACTTCTCTTATCTTCTTGTACATTCTCTGCATCCTTTGGGATTTCTAAATGCTGGTCAGAAACTGGACATCAAGATAAAAGTGGAATCATTCATGGGGTTTATGACTTTTTGGTCTCTGTAGTTTACATAGCTTAAATAAATTGCACAAATTTTGAGGTAATTTTCAAAATCCACTGAAAAATTTAAAGCTAATGGCAACCACAGCCACTTAACCACTGCCACCATCTCCATCGTTTCACTAAAACTTAAAGATCCAATTCCAAGCAACAACTCATAGAAATTTTATGTCACAAAAAATAACTATACAAACTTGGCAAAAGACAGATGGCAGAACTCACACAACACCTATCTGTGCCCAAATACAGGGAAAGCTTTGGCTTGAACCTGATCTTCTATGATGAGATCTTAGCAGTTGGCATAGGAAATCATCCCTACATACGTTGGGACGTAAAGAATCACCTTTTCTTCTTTGAATCTGGATCCTGCAGATTCATTTGATGTCCCTCCCCTGCTTCATAGATTAGAGGAACCTGTGACCAGGCAATCCCCAGGCACACGTTCCAGGCACTTATTTTACAGACCTCTTACATATCCACCTTTTTTTCCAACAGATAACAGAGTAATTAGTCGTTCTTTATACGGAAGCTGTCTCCTACCTTTCATTATCTCGTTTCCTCTTCATCCTCTAGAGTTCCATATCCTTTCTGATGTGGGGGCCTGGAACACCACACAGTCTTCAGACAGCAGACAAAGCTGGGATTTATACAACAACATGATATCATCTATTTTGTTCTCTAGTTGCTAACCCCAACAGTGCTAACACCTAATTTGCTTTTTCAGACACTGATGAGTTGATGTGCTCATGGAATTATCTTTTAAAATCTTGAAATCTTGTCTGATGTAGTCAGTTCAAAGTACACAGTTTTATATGTGAATTAATGTTTTTTTCCCCAATGTGTATCACCTTATACTTCTAAGCCATGTTATGGTATGGCTGCTTAGTTTTCTTAAAAGCCTTTGCTGAAGGAATTTGTTGAAAGCCTTTTGTAAATCCAAGATCAATCAGATCACCCTCATCCACGTGTTTTTTGATCCCCTCAAAGAACTGCCTTATGTTTGTGAGGCAGGACTTCCTTTTATGAAAACCTTTTTAACTCTTCCCAGATAAGTCATATTTATCCAGATGTCCACTGTTCCATATTATAGTTCCCACCTCTTTGTTTTGTACAGAGACTGGGCTGACAGGCTTGTTGTTTTCTGAGTCTCTCTTGGAACACTTCATTTAAAAAATGGCTCTCTCTAATCTCACTAACAGTCAGCTATTTCAGCCTTCAATTCCTTTAAAGCTCTGTGTGGTCCTGGGGACTACTTCTTAATTTTCTTTGCCTCATCTGCTGCCACTTGTCCATATATCTTTTTTCTTATTGTAATAATAATTTATGATACTGAACAGTTTTACTACAAGTGGATTTATCTAAAATCTAATTTAAATCAGGTATTTCTGGAGCTGAGTTCAGAAGACATTCTCCAAATGTGAGAAGAAACAAGACAAATCTTTGTCTTTCATCCAGCAATAAAAGCAAAGCTGTCGTTTCACCTACAGTTTCCTACAGTGGTACCCCAGGTCTGGAGATTCTTTAAAAATGCAAATATTTCCACCCATTCCTTAGTAATGAGGAAGAGACAGAGGGAAAGGGGATATCATGATCTCTAATTTATAGGCAGCATTTTACTGCTGTAAATACCCAGATGGTCTGACTTGCTCCTTTTTCTGCATTTCATTTTCTTTTTCTATCTGACTTTTTTTCCACATTAAAATCCACATAAGCTAGTTCCTAAAAATACCTATTTTAACAGCTTTCTAGTAGACTCTATTATCTGTAAACAATTTAATAAACTAAAAACAATTTAATAAACCAATTTATTGTAGGATGTGATTTCAGCCAAATGGGAGAATCAGCAGAGGGAAAAAAAAAAAAAAAAAAAAAAGAAAATTCATTTATTTGGGGTTTGTTTTGTTTATTACATGGAAAAAAACCCCCATTCATAAATATATGGTGAGTTTAATGGCATAAAAGATAAAATCACAGCCATGCCACTTAAGAAAATATGACACACAGTCTCTTCCAAATGAAGAGCAAATGGGTTCTTCCAATATATCCCTTCAAATGATACTTCTTTTAAAAGTGGCTTCTGCCAGCTGGGCAATGCCAGGCACATCAGCATATGTTATTGTCCTGAATCATTGCCTAATAACATCCCTTGTTTAATAGTTGTACAGCTCAGTAGTTACATAAAGTAAAAGCATATTTTGAAGGCAGAGCTCAACATCATTTTCCCCAAACCTTATGGAAGTAGAAAAATACATTTCTGCTTAATTGCTACAGTTTGGTTCTCCTGATGTAAGAAGCAACAAGGAACAGAGACACATGGAAAGGATTTAATTTTCAAAAAAGATATAAAATGGCAAAGTGAATGAAATATATTGATGGGAGGTTCAAATGCACAGCTCCAGCTAACATCCATTAAAGCTGATTGCCCTTCATTTTTTCCCATCAAATTTCTCTTGTCCTACAAGATAAATTAATGGAATCCAGATGTTTCAATTGCATGAGGAACTTCCCAGTGCACTGCCAGCTAAAGAGGGTTTGCTGACTGAAAGTACA